CAAGAACGAACCCGCCTTTCTTTATGGTGTAAGAACAGAGGCCCCAAAACGCGACAGCTGCAAGATAATTAGCACTCACGAAGGGGTGAGGGGCTACTCGCGGGGTGACCGGTGGGAAGCTAGTTGCAGATCAGCGGCGAGGAGGAGGTTCCTTTGAAAATAGTGCCGGTGCGGAGATGGGGGGGGTGTACTGTTTTTATTTTTGCGCGTCTAACGGTAGTCAACTATAAAATCGGGCTTACAAATGCCGGCACTCTTGCAGCTTTTTTTTAATTGCCGCGAATGTCCAAAAAATCGGTTTGTCGTGGACTCTGTGGACACCGGCTAGTACATAGTTTTCGCGGCAAGGCATGGACATTCTCGGGCTTGGACACTCGCCTGCAACCAAGCACAGATAGATACAAATGTCCCTCAACTGGGTTTGTGCCGGCGGTTTTGAACCCTGCCTGACCTTGGAGGTTGGCAACGATGCGCCCGACCGGGTTACGCAGGTTGTACAACGCCTAGGGGTTACAGGTCACTTTAACCCCCCCGTAACCGTGCCCACTGGCCACCTGTGTGTGCGTGACTGAGCTGGGAAAAATATATAGGACGTACAGGGAGATATTTGAGGCATGGAATAGGGAGGAAAGGACGGTAGCTATACTGGGGCACAGGAGGTGGGTTGAAAAGGCGGGAAGGGATATCGTTAGGATAGACAGACCAGGGAAGACACTTTTGAGCCACCTTTCGCAAAGTAGAAAGGAACGATTGGCCATCGGTGATCGGTCTTGCGGGAACAATGCTCCGTCCTCTCGAGGACCCGTGGTCAATGGTCTAACCGCTAAGGCATGCAAAACATAAGAGTACGCCCCCCCCCTCCCTCCCCCCCGGTGTTTGCCATCGGGGTTGGGTTTTCCTCGCTTGGCAACGAAGTTGTAAAACAAGCCCCCCCCCCGGTGTTTGTCATCGGGATTGAGTTTTCGTTGCTTGGCAACGACGTTGTAAAACAAGCCAATTCACTTCGTGNTTGCGGGAACAATGCTCCGTCCTCTCGAGGACCCGTGGTCAATGGTCTAACCGCTAAGGCATGCAAAACATAAGAGTACGCCCCCCCCCTCCCTCCCCCCCGGTGTTTGCCATCGGGGTTGGGTTTTCCTCGCTTGGCAACGAAGTTGTAAAACAAGCCCCCCCCCCGGTGTTTGTCATCGGGATTGAGTTTTCGTTGCTTGGCAACGACGTTGTAAAACAAGCCAATTCACTTCGTGAACTCGGTGAAGGCCACCCTGACTCTCGAAATCATCATGGGTTCGAGTCCGTGTGGAGGTGCCTTCCAAGACTTTTCTTTTTGCGGAGTCCATCACATTGATTGGCGCCCCCCACACCTCAATCAGTATATTATAATACTGCTGTGTAGTAAACGGGCCAATGGTTGCAACGCACGAGCCTACTGCAGGTACGTTTTACAACAAAAAGCTATTCCACCTCCCGATCCAGTACATACGTGTAGATGATTCGTTCCACAGACAGATTATGTGCGGGATGCATGAACGACGCCGATCCAAATCAATCATTCCCCCCATGAATTCAACTCTTAGAGACCCGCACACCAACAACGCTACAACGTACCGACCGCTTCAACCTGTACTGTTTGATGGAAGTTATGCCCCATCAATCGATTCTGGCAGGGCATTGTGTTTACAATCGTTTGCGCGAACCAACTTCTTCACGATTTGAAAATATCAATGTGCGGCAAACATTTCCTCTCGAAATTCCGCGGATGGGTCTTCTTTCGAATTTTTCATAAGAACTAGTCTAAGTTTCACGAGATATTCTATCATTTGCTTGCCGCTGTGAGACGAAAGATTCGCACGCACACATACCCGGTCGCCCCGGTGGTCTAGTGGGTAGCCTCGCAGCCTGCTAAGTAGGGGCCAGGTCATGGGTTCGAGTCCTGACAGAGTGATTTTTTCTCGCTCACTAAATCCTGGTCTCCGTTGGAAGCGACTCGCTGCAAAGCTCGTTGTTAGTAAACTTGATCGACTTCATAAGTTGCGAGGGAAGGGATTGCTGTACCCTTCTCGCGATAAATATATCTCAGGCAGGAACCGCTGGAGGGGGTCCAACCCCCACTCCTATGTGACCCCGGTTGGGTCGTCTAGCTGGTAGAAGTGGAGGATAGGGGCCAGAGGGGCAGACGACAGAGTCCAATGATGGGAGAAAAACAAACAAACAAACGAAAACACCACACACATACATTTCACAAAGATAGCAGCACACACGCGGCCACACACAAGCCCACAAATACATGGGGTGACCCAAGAAAAAAGCGACAAAGAGGAAGCGGACCGAGGATGGAACCATCGCGCGACGTGCTCAGGCGGCAGCACCACTCGTTGGTTCTGACCATGAACCAGATGTTTCTCCCATGGATGTTGTCGAGGACGACAATACCCGATCTTGCGCAGAGCGATGTGGACGGAAGATAATGAAGCCTGTTAAAGTGCACTTTATCACCCGTTAACATGTCTATCACATGCCTCACTAAGTCATGCTAACATGTGATGATGGGTTGATACCGTAGTCTGTGCTACGAGATGTACGTGTTCACGGTCATCATTCGCACGAAGGTCGTCAGCAAGCTGCGACACTATTTGCTTGGTACCGTACAAGGAATGGATATCATCCAGGAGAGACAACAACGACAGGAAAGCGCAACCCCTGACATCATACTGATTCCCAGCCCCGAGGAAACGGCTACGCACGAACTGTACTCAGCTACGAAGGTCTACGCACATAATGTACTTATTTACGAAGGTGAGAGATGTATGATGAGCGTTTGTATGAGCGTCTGTTTAGCAGCTGTTTTAACACTCCTACCGGTGTGTGTTAGAATGTATGCATTTGCATAGAATATGTAAATATGCGTATGACCGGAACAGGTTGTCGGTGTAATGTTTGTACAGATGCAATAGGATATGTATGTGTTGTTTGATATGCACATCATAATATCCACATGCATACGGGTATGTAAAAAGCAGGTACAATTGGTCCCAAACTTGAAAGCCCTGGGACTTCCCGTCGTATGGTTTGGGGGTTCAGTGGTGCGTTTATGGGGTTCCGCGGATCGTTTTGGCCGAAAATGTAGCATTTCCTCGAAAAAAAAAAAAACAGCTATCATCGATGGATGGACCTCGACGAGGGGATCGCGAATATCGTTGTTTCAAGTTCCACCTCTTTTTTTCACAAAAGGTATCGCACAAAACGCGAATGAAAAAATTGTCCCGGACGGACCATATGCGTCCGAGATCGGATATTCCGGTGCACAGGCCAACGCTCCCATCTCTCTTTCACACAACCACAAGAACACAAAAACACACCTCTCTTTGTGGACGAACATAAATTCTTAGGCCCAACTTGTTGGGAATTTGACACCCAACAAGCCTATTGGTTGAATCTCTGGACGCACCAGCCAGGATCACAGAGGACTTAGGCAATCAAAAAGGAGCTGGTTTCTCGCCCCTCTCTTGTGCGGCCCACAGCTGTGTTCGCTCGTTGTACGTTGGTTCTCAAGGTACATGTGTTATGGAAATGTTAGCACATAGCCAGTATGAGTCAATGTTCAGTAGCACTGCTCTTGTATATCGTAGATCTCATTTTTTTTTTTTTTCTCCCATAATCGGATTCTGTCGTCTGCCCCTCTGGCCCCTATCCTCCACTTCTACTAGCCAGACGATCCTACTGGGGTCATCATGTCGGTTCGAATATGACGTACGTATGTGTATGCGGAGGAATTACTCTCGCAGGATTCTCTGCGTGGTGCTTGGTAGCCAAGTAGCTCACTCTCTCGTGTGATCCTGCCGGATTGTGTTGGCCACCTAAGAGCCAGTGTTCCAATATCTCAACATCTTCTTCACTCCGTGGAAGGATTTTCGCCTTCCAGGCTACCCTCTCGCACGTGTCATCACCTCGACCAACGTCGACGACACAGCCTCTACACCACTGTGCCAGGGTATTGCATAATATCCATAATAGGTTATGAGCCTCGGGTGTGTGTGACTGGAGGCCTGCGGCGACTGCGTCTTCTGCGTCTTCTCCTGGTGTCGAGCACTGTGGAGAGCACACACACATCTACCAGCTTGGGTATCTCCACGGGGAGCTACCTCGCATTCTGCTTTCTGCTGGAGGTCACACTGAGTCAACCCGCTTGCTTATTGGGCCCGGACTGATCACCTGAGTTCTTGGCTGCACATTTCGGTACGATACTGTGTAAAGCATTCGAGGGCATAATTTCTAGGCGTTGATTTCGGTCGGCGAATAGAGTTGTGCACGTAGTTGGTTCTGCGTTCGGAGTGCCGTCCTTGGTGTTCTGTGTGTTCTCAACTAACTACCAAAACCGCCTGCGCGTGGTCCTTCGCGAGGCGTATAGTCTGTCCAAGATATCTCCCACGTGCTGAGTTGCCAAGCTTGGTAGCGTGTGCAGGCTGAGGATACGACTGCTAGCTGGTAGCCCACTGCTGCTACAGCTACACCCACGTGACCCACTCACGTAAATTTACCTGCGCGTTGTGCTATACGCGAGGTAGGTCTGTCCAAGATATCTTACGCGTACTGTGTGTATAACGGTGGGAGTGTGGGTTGAGGATCCGACCAGGCCTGTTTGCATCCGTGCGGCAGCCAAAAATCTGCGCTGAAAGACGCGTAGCAAGTCTAAGCAGTACATCTGACCCGTGTGCCTGCAGGACGAGGCCGGAGTTGGCAACTTCGTCGCCGCAACACCGCAGCCTAGCCACCTGCGGTAGGTCATAGCTGTGCTCGTAGTAGCGCAGTAGTCCGAGCGGACACTACATCGCTTCCGCTGGACGTGGGTTGTACGCTATAAAGCTGCGACCTGCACCAAGCCTGCCTCTGTGTAGCATAGCACCGTTTTGTTCTGGCGCGTCGAACCTTCGCAGGTAATCGAGGCGTCTTACGTGTGCTGAAAACCGTATAGCGCTCGGCGTGTGACCCTGGGTTCAGTGATGGCGGAATCATCGAGCTCCGGGCTCCACCGCATGCTGGACTCCATCGGGAAATGCACAGGACATTCGGGTTTTCGCGAGTGGAAGATCAAGTTTCGACAAGCAAGCATCCTCCACGCGCCGGAGCTTCTCCCCGTCCTCAACGGAAACGCGCGTCCTTCAGCGACCGCGGCGAACGCGGAGGATGTGGCTGCGTGGGACAAGGCCAACGGTCGCCTGTTCTCCCTCCTCTTCTTCGTGACCTCCGGGTCTGCGCAGCTCACTGTCCGCACCAACGAAGGGGCGGCGGATAGTGACATGGGGGATGGGACGGCTGCCTGGAGAGCTCTCAACAAGCGTTTTGATGCTCAAACCCAGGAAGCTCGGCATGCGTGTCACAACGAGCTGTTCAACCTGCGACACCTTGCGGGCGGTGATCCCATCGACTTCTTCACAAAGGGGTGGGACCTCAAGCTTCGCCTTAAGGTGCTGGGGGAGGAAGTGTCGGACCCAGTCTACCTAGACATCCTGCTCTCAGGCCTGGCCAAAGCCCCGGAGTTCAAGTTCATCAGGGAGATGCACTACCGTGACACTATTTCTTCAGTAGACAGTCTCCAGGCGACGGCTAACCGCTTCTTTGTGGATCAGCAGTCGCGCAACGCGTCGGGCCCCGTGGTCTCGGGCCGAGGGGCTGCGATGGCGGTCGCGTCCGACACCGACCAGTGCCGCCGATGCAAGGCGTACGGACACTTTCAGCGCGATTGTCCGCAACAGGTCCAAAAGAGCCGTCCTAAGCAGAGCAAGAAGAAGGGGCAAACAAGCGAGAAAGTTGTGCAAGTGCACAGCCAAAGTGGTGCTCCTACCACAACACCAAGACACACAGCGATGCTGAGTGCCAGAAGCAAAAGGTGATCCGGGAAAACAAGCAAAAGGAGCTTGAAGGGTTGGCGGCGAACCTGGCGCGCCTGCAGTCAGCTGGCCATGCCAATTTTCTGCAACTCTCCAATATCGGGAGTCTCACCTGGCGTAATCGTCTCCGACGGTGGCGCAACAGGCTCCGTCAGAGCCGACTTCGCTCGGGTTCTCCTTCAACGCCCTCGGAACTGCCTTGGCGGAGGCAACCTCGTCGTCTGCCTCTTCCCAGCCACCTCCGGCGGTGTCTGCCGCCACACAGGCGGCACCGGTATCTGCCTCATCAACGTCGAGTGCGCAGGACCACCGACTGCCTTCAGGGTTCTTCGGTGCGTTCATGGCGACTCATGCAGAGTTCTCGCTTGCTCCTTTTCGCTCCGACGGATCGTGCATCCGGATGGTTGTGGACAGTGGAGCGACAGACAACTACCTCGACCCTGNTGTCTGCCGCCACACAGGCGGCACCGGTATCTGCCTCATCAACGTCGAGTGCGCAGGACCACCGACTGCCTTCAGGGTTCTTCGGTGCGTTCATGGCGACTCATGCAGAGTTCTCGCTTGCTCCTTTTCGCTCCGACGGATCGTGCATCCGGATGGTTGTGGACAGTGGAGCGACAGACAACTACCTCGACCCTGGGCTTACACCAGGATTGCGGGCTCACATGCGCGACGTAGAACACCTTCGGGTCCCACACACGATCGTCGCCGCGGGCCAGCATGTCCTCAAAGGTGTTGCGACGGCGACTATCTTCGGGGCCGTCACGGACGACAATGGGAACAACCGGCACGTCTCCTTTCGCGTCATCTTGGTACCAGGGCTGGGCACCAACCTCTTCTCCGTGACATTGGCGACGCTAAAAGGGGTGGCGACGTTGTTTCATCCGGACAACCCCAGGTTGGAGTCAGGGGACGTGGTTTTCCCAATGCAGACCCTCGGGGTGGACGCCACGACCGGAAAACGCATCCACTCCATCGAGGTAAAGCTAGGGGGTGAACCTGGGGGCCCGACGGTCCTCGGAGACGCGCCTGATGCCCTCGCCTTGAAGGTGGAGTCCGCTGATCTCTGGCACCGGCGCATGGGGCACATCAACGGCAAGAGCTTGGACGTTCTAAGGAAAGAACCGGTCAACGGTGTCGACTACACCGGAGACGTGAAGGACTGTAGTGTCTGCCCGCTCGGAAAGCGCGCACAACAACCTCATCCAAAGCAGGCCACCTAAGGCGTCCTGCGCCCCTTCCAGCACGTTTCCGTCGACACCCTTTGCCCCTTCACACTACAGCGTTGGGCGGATTCAAGTACGCCACCAACTTCGTGGACCAGCAGACCAAGTGGGCGGAGATAATTCTCATGAAGAACAAGACCTCTTTTGTAGACTCCCTCGCGTTGTTCAACAAAGGGGCCGTGGTTTCTACCGGAGAACGCATTCATTGCCTCCGTGGGGATCAGGGCACAGAATTCACGAGTGCGGAATTCCACCAGTACTGTCAAGACATCGGCATCAAGCTGGAGTTCGCCTCTCCGAACACCCCTCAGCAGATCGGAGCCAACGAGCGTGCGGGTCGGACGAATTTGAATGTCGTGCGCTGTCTGCTCGCTGACTCAACTCTACCGAACTTCCTTTGGGGGGAGCTGATCCAGACGGCAGTCTACCTGAGCAACCGGGTTCCTCATGCAGCCCTGCAAAACGGGACGCCGTGCAAGGCGCTCTACGACAAGGGTGCCTAACTTGGTCACCTTCGGGTGACAGGGTCAAGGGCGTTCGTGCACGAAGAGACCCACACCAGGAAGCTGGAGCACCGTGCTTGGGAAGGACGCCTTGCCGGATACAGCATGGACAGCAAGTCGTACCGGATCTACAACTCTGAGACGCGACGTGTACGGGTGAGTCGAAATGTTGTCTTCATTGAGACACCTCCCGTTGCGCCTGCGTTGGATGAGGGTGGCTTCGACGACGGGGAGTTCACGTACGACAACCACGACGACATGGTAAGAGACGTTCGAAATTACACTTTCAACCAATCAGTTGATTCGCTCTCTCCTGATCATGACGTCGGGGACATACCTGTGATTGAGCTTCTCGAGCAAATCCGTGAGACAACCAATCGTGACCTTGGGATTAGTCCTGCAGGAACTCTCCCATCGACGACGCGCCAAGGACTTCTGGAGGTACACCTACGGGAGGTAGCCCTGCCTCGCCTGGGGGAGTAAACCCTCCNTCGAAATTACACTTTCAACCAATCAGTTGATTCGCTCTCTCCTGATCATGACGTCGGGGACATACCTGTGATTGAGCTTCTCGAGCAAATCCGTGAGACAACCAATCGTGACCTTGGGATTAGTCCTGCAGGAACTCTCCCATCGACGACGCGCCAAGGACTTCTGGAGGTACACCTACGGGAGGTAGCCCTGCCTCGCCTGGGGGAGTAAACCCTCCTGAAACGAATGACGGTGCGTCTCCTCCTGGTACGTCACCTGGTCTTACGCCACAAGATTCATCGCCTTCTGGTCCTGCTACGTCTAGCGCTGTACCGCGGGGTGGATCTGCGCGTGGGGGCCGTTTGTCTCGTGGTGGCCGAGGTGCTCGTGGTGGATCTTTGCGAGGAGGATCTGCGCGGGGAGGCATTCCGCCGCGTGGAGATCGCGGCTCGACGAGTGGAAATGGTTCTCGTGGTGGACGAGGGTCCACGTGGGCACCTGCCGTCACCAGGTCGAGTTCGCGCATGCCCAACGCAAAGACCATCCGCGAACTCCGTCGTATCTCCCACGTATTTACCGCGAAAGGGGAGTTCCCTGACGTCGCTCATAGGGACGGCTTCTTTGGTTTCACGGAATACGCGTACGCTATGGGCGCATCCCAACCGAATGTTCCACGAACGATTGAAGAGGCAAGGGTCATGCCGGACGGAGAACAGTGGAACGCAGCTGCAGAGCGCGAGATTGCGAGTCTCAAGGAACTTCAAGTTTACAAGCTCGTCCCGCGCACGGCAGTTCCCCCAGGGAGGAAGCGGATAAAGTCCAAATGGGTGTTCAAGCGAAAGCAGACGGCTCCTTCAAGGGGCATCTAGTGGCGCAAGGCTGGAACCAAGTGCCTGGACTGGACTGCGGCAGCTGTTCGTATATGTCCTTTACGTGGAAGGGGAAGCGTATTACATCTTGTATTAGACACGCAAGGGGAGTAGGGAGAAGTGAAGCCCTCTTTGGAGTTCGAGGGGTCCCCGCACATGCAACCATTTCAAGGTGTACATATGCCCCATCTGCGTGCCCTCTGTTGTTGCCGATAGATCTAACCAGTCCGTATTCAAACACACGAACATCCTCCCCGGTTTGCACGCGAATAGCTAACCTAACGTGGGGCATGGATACCCCTGATCTACCAAAGGAACTCAAAACAACAACAGGCTCGAGGGAAAACCCGGCCAACCGGATCAAAAACCCTTGTCTAACACCCTAAATATAGAAAACCGTCGCTATCACGGAGGATTCCAACGGCCGCACTTCCAAGACAAGACCAAGGCATGATAGATTGAAGCAATCACGCTGATTACACACCCGAAGCAACGCTCTCGGCGTTTCTAGGCTCCAGCCGCGGGTGACGCGCCGGCACAACGCTTCCTGCGTGACGTACCATGGTCATATATGCCAAGTGCTAAAACCACCACATCAACCAAACAGAACAAGAGAACACTACATCGGTAGGTTCATCAGAGCCTTCCGGTGGTACTCTAACTTCTCTCTGCCAAGGACCTTGGTCAGCATGTCGGCGTGCTACTCTCCAGTCGGAACATACTCTGCAGTGATCTTGCCCGACTTAAATAGCTCGCGAATGAAATGGAACCGCACGTCGATGTGCTTGCTCCTAGCTGAGCTGAACGGGTTCTCGATTAAGGCGAGAGCCCCCTTATTGTCCTCAAGGACCTTGATCTTCGTTCCACTCGTCTCGGGCGCTATGAACGACAGAACGCCACGCACAAACAACGCCTCCTTCACGCCCTCCCCGGCTGCCATATACTCTGCTTCCGAGGTCGACTGAGCCGTCACTGGCTGCGTCTTGGTGGATGCACACACTACGGTACCACCTACGGTCACAGCTAGCCCGGTCGTAGAACGCCTGTCTACTTCGTTGTCAGCGTAGCTGGCATCGACAAACACGCTTAGGTCTAGTCCTGACCCCCGTACGTAGGTGATGCCGAAGTCCTTCGTGAAGTTCAGGTAGGACATGATCCGCACAAGCGCGTTCCATATCCTCCCGGTGGGTGAGTGGGAGATATTCTGGAGCTTGTTCAGAGGCACGGGCGATGTCTGGCCTCGTCAGCTTCGTCCACATTAGGCATCCGATCGCCTCCCTCACAGGCTTATCCACCGCGGGCTCGTCATCTCTCTTCGGCCCTAGGTCGGCATCGGTGGCAGCAGGGGTGAAAGCGGTCGTGGTCACATCAAACCGCTTCAGCATACTCTCAATGTATGCTGTCTGGGACAGCTTGGTGATGCCATTTTCTACATCCATGGCGATAGCACACCCGTCGTACCAGGTACACTCCCCCAGATCTTTCACCGGAAACTTCTTGTTGAGGGAAGCGAGCAACTCCCCTCGCTCTCCCCCGTCTGCCGCCACTAAAATGTCATCAACGTAGATCACGATGAGACCTACGACCTCTCCATCCACCACCTTCCGGAAGACACACGGGTCAACCCTGCACTGCTCGTATCCATTCTCGATGAGGGCATCGGCAGCTTCAAACCCCCACTCACGGCCACTCTGCTTTAGGCCATACAGGGCACGCTCAACCTTGACCACCTTGCCGGACATGCTACCACAGCCTTCCGGGAACCTGAGGTATATTTCTTTTAGCTTAGCGTTGATGTACGCTTGCTTCACATCCCAGTGAGCGAGTTTCTTGCCCTTTTCAGTGGCTACGGCAATCACCGTCTTGATAGACGCTGCAGACGGGCACGCTGAGG